GGGGTGTTCTGTCAGAAAAAAAAAATTGAAATGGGGGCCCCGCCAAGCTCTCGGCGGCCCTACCACACCCTTTCGATAATTACGACATTTGGCCTGGCAGCCTCGCTCTCATGAATCGTGAGTCAATCACATTGCGTAATTTACTAATGAGAGCGAGGCTCCAAGACCAAAACGTATGTGCGACGTAATTATTGAAAGGGTATATTGTCTTACAATCACAGAATAGAATACAATCACGTGCTGGTTTATTTACTTTCGCCTAATTATTTTCGCACGTTTGATATTCCACTTTAAGCAATCCGATCACTGTCAGTAAATATTCGACGATTTTTCAAATAGCCATACATCGGCTAAAGCGATGCAATGTATGCTGTAATTTCGACTTTAAGTAACACCTCTTGGGTCGCAATAAGCTTTCACGGTGCATGAAAGACGTGATAATGCTTAGTTTAACGTTGACCGTTGTGTTGAGAGTGACAAAGACGTTGAGAATACCCCTGGCCCTGGGACCACAAATTATTCACAGTTTTTATCTTGCATGACAAATTTCTTTGTTTTGAAACTGATATTTTTGTGATTAAACTGATATTTGATATTTTTATGGCATTCTATATAATACACTTAGGGCTGTTTTATACGTCGAATTTCGGTCGCGTCGAATGCAATTCAAACAATAGATAATGAAGCTTAATGAGGTTTATCATCTCATCATCTATTGTCTTAATTGCATTCGACGCGACCAAAATTCGACGTATAAAACAGGCCTTATACACATGACTGTATTAAGGCATCATATTAAGTTGATATGATATTGTCATATGGTATACTGGGGGAATAAGTACACGGTTCGAACGCGTGTGTGGCAAACAAAAGTATGATTTTTCATTTACTGTGCTGAGTGGTTATATTACTACCTTAAAAAATAAGCAGAAACTCGACGTTTCGAGCGAAGGCCCTTCGTCAAAGGGTCTTCGCTTGAAACGTCGAGTTCCTGCTTATTTTTTAACTTTTGAGGTAGTAATATAACCACTCAGCACAGCATTTTCACCAGGGGCGTAGGAAGCGGGGGGGGCACGGGGGGCACGGGGGGCACGTGCCCCCCCAAATTTTTTTAAAGGACTAAAAGTGCCCTTTTTTGTGATAAAAAGTGCCCTTTTTGTGTTGAAAAGTGCCCTTTTTTGTGAGGAAAAGTGCCCCTTTTGTAGAAGCTAATGTCGCTGTAAATACTAAATTAAAACAATAGGTGCGTTTTTGTGTGGAAATTTACAAATTTTTTTTAAAAATTAGGTCACAAACATAATATTTCACATATATTTCCGGGAAAAATTTTTTAGGTGCCCTTTCCGATAGTAATGTGCCCCTACAAGCCGGTGCCCCCCCAAACTCCAGGTGCTTCCTACGCCCCTGATTTTCACATTGGTACTACCAACACTGGTACAGACAGTTTAAGATTTTTCATTTATACTTCGAAGTGTAATTTCTTGTTGTAATATAATCGAGTAAATTGCACGGGACGACATACAAACCAAGGCTAGAATTGTATCGCGGCAATTGCCGTAGAGGCCGGAACAAAATGCCGTGGATCATTGCGGCAATGACGGCAATTTTTTGCCGTATAGTGTAATTTTTATACTATTACTACTTCGATACTTGAATTCAGATGTTAATCAAATCATGCGTAAATCACTATTTTACTCTCAGTTTTCTTCGAAAAAAACCCCCACTAAAGTGTTAAAGATTATTTACGTAGACATGTTACTAGAATGCCGTGGAAACTGCCAAATTGCCGTAGACAGCTGTTACGTTTTACGGCAAATCGGCAATTTTTAACGCCATTACCGTCGATTGATTTCAGGGAAATTCGAGGGAATCGAGGCCTGAATGCCTGATTCAAACTAGTACTTCACGATTGTCTACGATATAAATCAACTTAAGTTAAACAAATATTTGTTTTACTGTAAACAAACTACCCTGCTAGCAAGTATAAATCAATAAAACAAACCTGTCTTGCGAACTGAGAATTTCCAAGTCCGTGTCACAGAGTCCGTGTTGTCCATTGTGAAGTATGAAACCAAGGAAATACGTCATATAGACACAACTAAATTTGATAATTCCTCAGCAAGAGCTCTGAAATTCCTTGGTTTTCTAAAAAAGTCATTAAATCATTTCATTCAATTTTCTGTGATTCCCGCTCGCCGCCAACATCAAGTGATTCAAGTAACATAATAGAGAGCTAAAGCAAGGGACGTTTTTTACTCCCGATGTTTTTGAATCAATCGTGCTGTCCGTATCCGAATTTGCAATCTCTTTAACAAATTCTTTGGAAAAATCCGATTGGGAAATTCCTTAAATGTGTAATTAAATTTTGGGTATGCATGGGAATTTTCCCGGGAAAATCCCCCAACGTGCAGTATGTTTATTTTTAACTGGCATTTTCCATTTATTGAGGATTTTCGAACAAAGTTGAAGAAAAACTAGATTCTGGAATGTTAATTAAATCTTCGTTAATCCATTTGGCCGCAATGCGCCGGAACAGATACAACTATGTTAATTCAAGCTCTATTTTAAGCTATATTATTCAGGGTGTCCTAAAAAAACGAAAACTATTGAAATAAATTATTGAATGCCTCAGCACTCTGCTGAACCCACACACGTGATCAAAGCTTGACGTAAGCACAGAATAGGAAGTTATACCAGAAGCGTAACTCTAGTCGTTTCCCTTATTGTTTGACGTCCACGAAAATTTTAACTCGCTCACGTCAGGCCACACCATCCTGGCTAGTACAGCCGGAAGTTTTTATCAGGATTTGGTAGGTACAAAGTGCCGGTTGTACTAGCCAGGATGGCGTGATTGATGACGAATCGCTTGTAAAAACGCGGACAAATATTTGCTCGAGTTGCGCTTCTGGTATAACTTCCTATTCTGTGACGTAAGTAAATTTTATGCATAACGAAACTGTTTATTAAGAAACTGTTTTAAATTTCCCAGAGGAGAAAATCGTGCGCTTTACAAAGGTATTTTACGCATCTCTGCGTTCAGCTCAGTGCTAGGGCATTCAAATTTTAACAATACGTTATTTCAATGGTTTTGCGTTTCTTTTGGGACACCCTGTATATGGCTTATTATATCTATTATATAGATTATTGTAATTATAGATTTAGTTCCCTGTCTAACTTTCGGGTAATGGGGGTTGGGCACTTAGGCCCGTTTTATACGTCGAATTTTGGTCACGTCGAATGCAATTTAGACAATGATATGATAATGGTGAAATTCTTGGATGAGGCTGAGCAGGATATCCAGAATTATTTAGACCGAGGTCAATGTTATCTGCCGAAGGCTGAGGCAGATATTAAACATTGACCGAGATCTAAATAATTCTGGTATCCTGCCCAAGCCGAATTCAATAATTGTTTTATTATTCATTTTGTGACAGAAAGAAAACAAAACAAGCAACAATTGAAAACAAATAAATATTCATTGAATATTTATTTATTTTCGTAAATATAAGTATTGAAAACCTCTCTTGCCAGTTTAGTACTTTTTTTGGTGTTCTTTAGTCCTTGTTTTCCACGATTTTTTTCAATTTCCTGCGTTGAAAATGTTGCGAAACGAGCACTAGCCATTGTGAACAATTGAAAAAGCCCTCAACTAAAAATTTCCTGCCAATTTGTATTTTCGCATAAAATACCGCTGAAATATCTCGGGCGCCGTCCAATAACCTCTGCAATTACTGTTTCCGCTGGAAATAGCGCAGGCACCTACAAATACCCAAAATTATTTGTAGGCTCTTAGCCAATGAAAAACCGAGAACGTAGTACAATGAATAATAATACCAGAAATTTCCATCTACAAATCCCTTCAATCAGAATTAGTTAAATCGATTGTAGATGCTCAAGGTCGTTGCTCTCCGAAATTTTTTTTTCCGGAAAAATGTTTTAAATAGGGCCCCCTAAAAAATTTGAACCCCCCCCCCCTACCAGCTTATGCTGGATCCATCCCTGATTATAAGGTCCGTTCACACTTGCAATTTTAGGTACGATATTATTCTTCTGCAGGGGCGTCGTGGGTCCCATGTTTTAGGGGGGCATCGGCAGCATTTTTCCGACAAACACAATTTTTTCCGACATAAATAATTGGGGTGAATAGGGTTATACAAATCCGCCGATCCGCCCAAATTTTTAAGCAAAATCCGCCGATCTGACAATGGTCTCGTCTTAATTTGGATCCACTAAAAGCTCTACTATGAAATCACAATCCAGGATCCGAACTAAAATGCAACCTATATCCACAATCGGAGCAAAAATATTAGATAAATCCGCTGTACTAATAAGGTCCGAAAATCCGTGTGAAATATTTGCCAGATCCAAAATCCGAACAATTTTTTTGTGAAATCCAACGATCCAAAAACCTATTCACTCGCCCCAATAATATATGAAATCATATTGAATTAAATATTGACTATTCTGTAAACTAATATTGGGAAAACATAAACTGGGTCCGATTTCCCATATTTCATCTATATATTTTTTATTTAAACATGTTTGGCATTGTCAAACAACGAAGAGAATTAGTAAAATTCCCGCTCGTATGCTTGACCACGCGAAGATTCCAACAACATAACAAATTTCCAATTGCCCCTCCCCCCGTCCACGGCGCCACTGTTCTTCTGATGGATGTAAACGAGTGGGGACGAGTTATGAATGTTTAGATGAGGGTACATATACTCAGAACATTCATAACTCATTTACTCGTTCACATCCATCAGAAAAAGAAAATTGCGCTAGAAATCGCAGGAAAAATCTGAATGGCCTGCTCGACTTGTAGCTCAATTGGTTAGGGGCCATTCACAAAGGATGTCCGGGCCGAGGGGGGGGAGGGGGGTTTGGAAAATCAGGACAAACTCGGACATAGGGGGGAGGGGGGTTTTTAGCAATCCGGATGTCCGAAATTTAAAAAAATTCAAAAACAAATTTCTTTTTCCCTCTATTTTGAGCAGTCCTTCCCATTGTGAAATTGACATTTTGACTATGCGGTTAACACTAGATTTTGTTTTAATTAGTAATTTATATGTTTTTGTGTTCACATTTACAGTTATAAAAAAGTTCTAAAAGTAAAAAGTTTTTTACTCTTGATATATACAAGGTTGCGTGAGTTTTTGCGAGGCATGGCGGATGTCCGGGGGGAGGGGTCACTAATTCGGACAATGCCGGACAAGGGGGGGAGGGGGGTCTGAAAATCCATCATTTGGCCGGACATCCTTTGTGAATGGCCCCTTAGAGAGCTGCACCGGAAACGCAGGGCCGCAGGCTTCAATTCCTACCGGAGGGCCTGTAGTTGTATTTTTCGCACCTGCTCCTACCCTGGATTCCAGAGCCTTCAGTAAATAATAAATTGAAACGTCGTGAAGGCTCTGGTTCAACGCGGGAGGATTCTTTGATTCAACAGCGCTAATCACAAAACAGAATTAGTGGTTCTAGTACAGATTCTGTACTATAAAAAACACTAATTCTGTTTTGTGATTAGCGCGGTTTAATCAAGGAATCCTCCTGTTGAACCAGAGCCTTCACGACGTTTCAATTTATTATTTACTGAAAGCTCTGGAATCCAGGGTAACCTGCTCCTGGTTAGCTCTAATAAATGTGTATAAATTCAACTCAAAATTCCATCAACAAAACACTTTAATAATTAATTCAAACACTCATTAATAATTCATAAGCTTATTGGCAAATCATGTCAACCATAATATGTCACGTGTAGTGGTTTTAACCTGATAAAACACTCCTAATTAGTACTCTTTATATAAAGAATACTAATAAGGCAGTATCTATATATTGTAGTCGTGTAATAATTAAGGCAGTATATCTATTGAATTTGTAGTCGTGTTTGAAGCCGTTTAATAAACTCGCAGGTCGTGTTTTATTATAGGTCTAAAGCCACTCGCGCTGCCCGCTCGTGGCTTTAAACCTAATAAAACACTCCTGCTCGTTTATTAAACAGTACTTCATTTATAATTTTGAGTTAGGAATTATTTACAGCAAGCATTGGCGTAGGAAGATATTTAAAGTTAGGGAGGCTGAAATTTGGCGAGAACACCATTAAAACTAGGGGGCCTGGGGCATGTTCCCTCAGAAATATTTTAAAAATATCGAGGCTCAGAAATGCCATTTCATGCACTTTCTGGCGCAAGATTGAACAACGTAAGCCTCGGTCAAACGAGGATGAAAGATGATGAGAGTTAAACTCTCGCGCGCGTTTGACCGCCAATAGACCTTATGCATAATGACGTCGCAAGGTTTGATGCCCGCGAGGAATGCTGGTCTTAGTAATCATCGCCCGGGAAAATTAAACAATTCAAAATGGCCACTATCGAAATTTTCCCGGGCGATGACTACTAAGACCGGCATTCCTCGCGGGCATCACTTTGTGACGTCATTATGCATAAGGTCTATTCTCAACAACTCTCATACGAGTTTTCGCTACGCGTACGGTAATATCCAGTCAACTTTCATCAAACTCTCATGCAACTCTTGTTCTCGTTTGACAGGGGCATGAGACGGTTGAGAAAACTCTCGCTTGCCAACTCTCATCAATTCTCGTTTGACCAGAGCTTTTTTCACCAGGGGGCAGTAAGGCCTACATATGCCGAAAAAAGTCCCAAATATCCCAAGAATAATTAATAATGACATTCTAAAAATCGTAAATATAGTTTTCTCTAGGGGGCAGTTGCCCCCTGCCCCCCCCCCCTCCCCCGCTGTGTACGGCGGTTGAAATTTCTTTCTGCAAAGTTCATTGCTCGAAGGTTTTTTTTCTCCATTGATAATTAATCACTTTGCAATCAAAGTAAATTACATTGGAACAAGCCAAAACTTGCTTTCTAATTTGTAAACAATAATTAACAGTTGGTTTCTTTTAATTAAATCCCGAAAGTAATTGTTGTCTCTTTAGTAAATGTCAATCTAATTTTACACTTTGACAAAGACCTGACGTGGGAAACCAGGACAGTGAATCGGATGGGGGGGGTACCTCTCAGACTAATTTCGCAATGTCTGACAAGAAATATTAATTGCAACGATACCGTACGGTATAATCCAACTTCAGCATGATGTTCACATGCAGGACCGTACACAGCAGGGAGAAAGGGGGGCAACTGCCCCCCCCCCCCAGAGAAGCCTATATTTACGATTTTTAGAATGTCATTATTAAGTATTCTTTGGATATTTGGGACTTTTTTCGGCATACATATAGGCCTTACTGCCCCCCCCCCCCTCCCCACAGTGAAAAAATTCTGCGTACGGCCCTGTTTACATGCGTTAGACAATTGAGTTTATCGATAACATTTTCACACAGCAAGAAAATTCAGGCTTTTAGCAGTCCAATGATACCTTTATTATCATTATTCATTATAAGAGAAAATGGTGGAAATCGCATTTTTCCACCGTTGGGAATTTGTGAAAGTGTATCCCATTTGGATCTAAAATTAATGAGGTATATACATTAAACTACCCAAGACATCGAGTTCGGATTTCCCAACAAGCTATTATAGTATTGCCCAATTGATAAGGGATCCGAGTTACCTACGATTTAACGTGCTTATCGGAGGAGACGCGAAAACCATGCATTTGTGGGGCAAAAGTGCAATAGACAGTAAAATCATATCTATTAAACACGACAAGTTTAGCTGTATCCACTGTATGGAATTATAGTTTAGTGTTTTACGCTTTGGTTTAGAATACAAAATTTTAATTCCATGCATACCATCAGTTTTCTGTCAAATTGACGTTAAGTTATTTTTGGTTATTTGCTGGTCAATAGTTGCGTGGGTTTCTTTAACAACTAGTTTTTTAGCAATCAAATTTGTTTTTAACTAAGCCGACAAAAACGCCGCTTCAATTTAATCAAAAACTGCTAATTAACAGGTAATGAAGTCGAAATCGTTTGTTTGATTAGCATTCAAATTGAAACTTAAGTTGGGCTTACTTTGGCAAAAAAACTTTCAAAAATTTAATTTTCTTAGTCTCTTTAAGATCAATATTTGTCAAATCTGGCATGTATCAAAGTTTATAAAACTGAACCGGCCCATATAGGCTATACCTGATCGCAGGCGAAAAACGAGCGTATTTAAACGCCTGTCGTGCCTCCATAAACTCATTTCGCTTTTGGTTGTGTGCTGAACGTAGCAACAAAAAAATGGCTAGCTTATCGTGTGTATTCGTTTTTGTGCTGTGCGTGTTCGCGGTGGAAGCTTTTCCAAACGCGAGGCGAAGTGGACCAGAGAAGGCATTTGTTTTATACCGCATGCCATCGCGATGCGTAGAAGCCCCCCAAAACGACATTTGTGATCTCGGCTATAAGATCCGATACATGGGCGACAAAAAGTTCGGCGATATCGTATCCTTATCTTTTAGCAGTATAAAAAATATGTACCAGGAGTTCGGCTACTCTGACGAGTGCATCGAGAAAACTATGGAGCTTTTGTGTCGAAGCGCATTCCCCGAATGCAAGCCGAACGGACGGGTGGATTATGGCGACCAGCATGGACTCATTGATCAAATCCACGGAAAATGTGGTTTAAGTTTCAGTAAAAAGAACTTTACCACAGGAATCCATAAAGATCCCTATGCATCCTCATTTCGCTTCAACTGTATCCATCTAGCCCAAGATCCACAGCAAAAATGCCCCAAACCAAAATATGCAGTAAGTATCTAATCTAAGGGTCGTGAAGGGATGTGGGCGAGAGTTCAACCCCCCCCCCCACTCCCCCCCCCAACCACCAGCCGACCCACTGATTGCCAAATGCCATAACCAGCAGCTACGCAACTTTTTTTACAAAGCACATTAATTAGTGTCAAAAATTGATTAAAAAATAACATCCTCATACTCAGGTTATCATTTCATCTGTAAAGTTTGAGTTTAATCGTGTGCTGTTTGAAAATGGTTCACGTGCATGTCCACAGAGGTCATGTCCCTGCAAACTCGCTCCCAAAATTGTTGGTGCAAAATGCCACATTGTCAATTGTACAAGGATATACACCGACTGAACGTTAAATATACATCAAACCTGTTTTGGTTAATGACTAATGCACTAAGTGTGCTACTTCTGCTGAATTAAACTGAGTTTCATTCCATATGTTCTTCCATGCATAATGAAATAAGCTATCGAAAATACATGATTTTTCCTATCGAGCCCCGGCCTTAATCAACTTTGTTACTTTAGGTGCCTTCGGATCAAGCAAAAAATTATTATGGAAGGATTCTGGACGTTAGCAGAGGGATGGCCAAAGACAAAAAACACATCCCCCAGGAGTGCTACCAGAAAGCTTTCAAAATTTTTGGTTGTTCTTACGCTTTCTGTTCCTCTGATGGAAAAGCATTGCTCATGAAAACCTCAAGGGAGGATTGTGAGGAAATTGGCACATGGTATGTCATTGGGTCATTAGTCATATACTGTACAGGGTGTCTCAAAAAAACCCCAAAATCATTGAAATAACGTATTGTTCGAATTTCAATGCCGTAACACAAAGGATTTTGACAGGGTGATTAATTTGTTTTAAAAAATTAAAATATCTTTGTAAAGTGAACGTTTGTTTGCTCATGGGAATTTAAAAATGCTTCGTAAATTCGTGGGTTTAGTACTTTATGCCTGACATAACAAGTTTACGCTGAGTATTATCATTCATTATAGCAGTTATGTCAATCTTTTATGCACTCGTGGGATTAACTTAGTGCTAGGGCATTGAATATCGAACAATACGTCAATTTCAATGATTTTGGGTTTTTTTGAGACACCCTGTATAGACAAATTTGGCTATTAATGTTGTTTGCTACCCCAAGGGACCTATTACCTAATGAACAAAATTTTGATCTAGACAAGTCTAGACAAAACTTTCATCACAGCTTGAAAAAGCTTTACAAAATTCATAATATTCCGAAGTTTCGTTGCAGAATGTTGTATAGACAAATTTGGCTATTAATGTTGTTTGCTACCCCAAGGGACCTATTACCTAATGAACAAAATTTTGATCTAGACAAGTCTAGACAAAAATTTCATCACAGCTTGAAAGAGCTTTACAAAATTCATAATATTCCGAAGTTTCGTTGCAGAATGTTGTAAAATGCGGATAATATAGCCCTGCGAAGTTTGCCGTTTTTCAGTTGTATATATACGGGCAGGAAATTGATACCTTTTTTTCAAATTCTAACAATTATACGTTATTTCAGTAGTTTTTTTGGGGACATCCCGATGCAAAGAAATTCCTGATCAAACGTGGATGAGAGAGTGCATATTAAGAGTTGGTAGTCAGATGACCTTGCCCTTGGTTAGCTGTTCGTAATGCTTTCCCAACACTATCATGTATTCTATTTGAGTTAAAACATAGTTGGGACACTTATCAAACGTTTAATCGTTATAAGTTCTGATATCATACGTTTTTTGTACGTTAAGTTTTGTCTTTACAGTCGAGGTTCAATATTACAAATACAATACTCAATCTCTATTCTGTGACTCAATATACAGGTAATACAAACAATTAGACAGTAGTCCTACCTGTTCAATAAAGCTATATTCTTTGCTCGAACCACGTTGAATAACTTGGTATAAAATATCCACTTAAAAATGTCATGGTCGACGCTTCAAGTTTATAGATTTAGCCTTCTTTACATATAGTTGTTATTTTTCAAAGGTTTCTCCGACAAAACTGCGACTATATCCTGGTTCTATTTTCCAAACTAAATCTCCGCCATTTCGAGAAGACAACGTACCAAACCAGGGCATTCACATGAATTTCATGCACGCTTCGTGTTAAACTGGTTAAAACTGGTTTCAGTTAAGTTCGTCAGAAGCCAAGACCAAGACCAAGTATTTGAAATTTCAAATTCAATAATTTGCATTGGCCATTGTACGTTTATTCTCTTTATTCCCCTGTGCCATTTAGGAATGCTATTTTCGTCATTAATAGTTCCAAAAGCTGTAAAATGCTAAAATTTGCATTTCCTTGCCCTTGGCTTAAGAGTTAAATATGCCAACTTGCGTTCTTAATTATTCTAACTACCTCATGTAGATGTCTCAGTCAAACGAGAAGAAGACTTGCATGAGCAAAAACTCCTAAATTCTAAAACTCAAGATTAAATTGAGTGAAGAAATTAAAAGAGTTGGAACTTTCATCAACTTCAGCCCCGGTCAAACAAGACGGACAGTTGACGAGAGTTGAGTGTTACAACTCGCACTCGACCTCCAAGGCCAAGTTCTCATCGAATCTCATCGGCTTTGAGCTAGTTCAAAATTTTAAGAGAGTTGTGAAGTTTTTGCTCGAATGTCCTAGTTTAAGGTAAGATTAAAAAAGTTCAACTCTGTCTTCCGTTTAGTCTTGAAAGGAATCATGCAGCAGACGACGAGGCGATGAAGTTTGTGAAAGAAACTTGTCCCAAGTATCCGAGCCCTGACAAGAATGAAGAAGTGTCGCTCCCGTATTAAGGAAACTTTGCAACTTTGAGCCGATGACTTTAAAGATTTGATTTTCATGAACATGAACGTGCATGCATTATTCATTAATATATCTCTAGAGTTAAATTCCACTTGACTTGATTTGCGTTTCTGTGTAAATTATTAATGATTAACATTAAAATCATTTTGAAGCATTTTTTGGTGTTTTTAATTCCCTGATGGGCCTGATGATTTTTGTTAATGATTAATCCCATACAGATTGATCGTTTAAATTTTATCTAATACACTTTGTTTATTAATATAAAAAACAATTCTTTGCACATTAATATAACAGTAGTGTCAGGGGATTTTTTAACTATGTAACTATACTGGGGTATTTATCCCAGTAGGCCCTTTGCTTGCCCCAGTAGTGAAGCATATTTTCAGATAAGTCGGGCCCTTTTGATCATTAGTAAAAAGTCATCCTTGTTGAAAAAGCTGCATCTGCCTGCTTTCTCATATCCTCTCACATTCTCGACATTTCATCTTATAAACGTCAGCATAGCATGCATGGTCTTCATGTATACGCGTCACTGTGTGGGAAAAGGCCTTCATTGAGACTTAAGCCGCGTTCACACTAGCGGCCCAGGCCTGGCCTGGACCTGGCCTGGGTCTAGGTGTGAACGGGTTTTACCTGGCCTGAGCCTGGCCTAAGTCAAGAAATCCAGGCCAGCAAATGTAGGTGGCCTGGACCTGGCCTCGATCATCACTGGTGTGAACGGGTTTTTCCTGGGCCTGGCCTGGGCGAGGCCCCGTTACCATCGCAATATCTGCCCACGATAAAAACTGGTCAGATGATTGTCATACAATTGGAGGGAAAAACATTCAAAGCGCGAAATTAAATACTTTAGTGGAACACAAGGACGTTTATATTGACGCCTGATTGCTTTGGCCTGGAGTTGGGCGTCAAGCCAGTGTGAATGCGTCACAATTGGCCCAGGTCAAGGCCCAGGCCAGACCTGGGCCGCTGGTGTGAACGCGGCTTTAGCCCCGGCAGTAGTCGTAATTCCTTAAAAAATGTCCTGGGGCCGAGTAGCGTCATGCATTCACGATCCACATATATAAGGAGCTACACAATAAATCGCTTGATAAGCAAATTCAGACGAACGTTTACACGTCTACACAACGATACGATAACTTGTAAACACGCGATGATTGGTTAAAAAATTATGTTGGTGTCCACACTGGTCACTACAACGAAAATGGTAAAATTAGAGAGGTTGAAGTCGTGTTTACACCACAAGCCTTGGGGGCAAGGTAAATGTGGCGCGTTTACACCATTAAAGGCATAGTTCAGCCTTTTGAACGATGGTTTTTAAGGCGCATTTCAGCCCTTTTAATTGAAAAAACTAACTAGGAAAATCAATTAAGCATAATTCAAGATCACCAAACTTAAAGGGAAATGGCAATATATTTTTTTATTTTTTCGTTTGAAAGAACATTTAAAACCATATATAAAACTCTTTTAGCGTTTTTTCATATCTTGCTTACTTCTACAAATATTTTAATCGAAAGAAATGAAATGTCCGCCATCTTGGATTTTTGTAGATATGCATGTTACGTCACAACAGGGGTCATGCAATATTTTTATCTAGACAACCACTAATTATTTTGCACTCAAAATTATACCCCGTATGCCCTTGGAAATATCAAGATCACTTGAAACCTTTAAAACATCTACCAATCAATATTCGGTCAACAGCGAATACTTTTATATGGTTAATCCCTGTTGTGACGTCACCAAAACTACCGTTAATGAGATAAAAAAATTATCCAAGATGGCTGACATCTCATTACTTCAAGTGAAAATATTTCAAGAACTAAGCAAGATATGAAGAATCGGTAAAAGAAGTTATTAAATAGTTTCAAAAGTTCTTTCAAATGAAAAAATAAAAAAATATATTGCCATTTCCCTTTAATGTTTTTAACATTCTAAAACATTTTTATTGTCAAAAACATCGAGTTTACTGATTTTGAATTATGCTTAATTGATTTTCCTAGTTAGTTTTTTCAATTAAAAGGGCTGAAATGCGCCTTAAAAACCATCCTTCAAAAGGCTGAACTGTGCCTTTAACACTGTTGTTTTTTTAGACTGGCTCACTTTGGCCTAGTAGAATTTTGTAATTAATTTTGTGTATTCTTATGTGTTGTGACGTCCGCTAATAGAGAGTTTGAGCAAGACAACGAAGTACGAAGGCGTACTTGACAATTTTTGCCATTCTGCACATTATCTTGCGCATACTGAGTTCACGTCGATGGTGGTTGCTCAGCGTGTCTGCCCATGTGTCGCTGTTAATGAATACCGTCCCTAATTCTTGCCCTGACCCAGAAAAAGACGGCGAGACATGAAACTATATCCCGTCTTTGTCCTTCTGCCTTCGTTCGGAACGAAGTACACAAAGAATTTTGCCAAAATATTCGTTGTGAACGAAGGCAGAAGAACGAAGACGGGATATGGATTCACGTCTCGCTGTTTTATCCTGATCAGGGTAAGGATTTGGGTCAGCATTCATAAACAGCTAGACATGAATCTCTAATCTGTCTTCACTCCTGACCCTAAACTCGGAATGCGCAAGATAATGTGCAAGACAGGCAAAAATTGTCAACCACGTCCTCGTTGTCCGAAAATACGACTAAGATAGGATACCCCGGTTTACGGGTACGAGTATCACCATTTTGTTTACCAATTTTTGCTGATGCTGTCAGTATTTTTACCCGTAATTTCTATCCGATTCCCCGCGGTAAACCATGGTCTACACGTAAAAGACAAACGGGTACGGGTGTTGTCTGTTTACTATTTGTGGGCCATTTGAATAGTAAAGATTCTATCAAAGTTTTCAACAATCTATGTCGAACCTCAACAGCGAAAGTTACCATTTTCTCACGCCGGAGTATCTTGGATTTCTTAAGTTACAAGTCGTTCCCCGATTTACGGGTACGTGTATATCACCCGTACCCGTAAACCGGAGTATCTTAACCTCTCTAATATCGTTTGACGATAACGATTTTTTAAAATCGATTTTTTAAAAATCGCTCACCAAAGTTATTTTTTCAGTCGGACGATAACGATGTTTTGACCAATCAGAACGCGTATACAACAAGTTATCGTATCGTTATGACCGGGCCTTTATATTAACTACAGTTGAAAAGTACACTGCATTAGTCTGCATAAGATTTTGATTACAAACAGGGCCGCCCAGAGGTTGGCGGGGGCCCGGGGCAAATTTTTTTTAGGGGGCCCTATCTAAAATCATTTTTCCGGAAAAATCCGGATATTATTTTGGCGACCTCCCCCCCCCATATTATTTTGGCGACCTCCCCCCCCGTCGCCAAAAATTTTTCGGTCAGTGTACCATTTTAGACGTAAAAAAAAATTTTCGGACGCACAATTTTGCCGGACGCGTACGTTGCAAACGCTTTCGAGTGACTTTATCTCATTTTTTTAGGCCAAAATTCGGTACTTAGCCCAAGAAAACAGATATCTTGTCCTTTGCGCGGAAATATTTAACACACAAAAAAGGCGGGGCCCCTACAAAAATTTTTCAGGGGCCCCCAGCAACTCGGGGCCCGGGGCAAATTGCCCCCTTTGCCCCTCCCCTCTGGGCGGCACTGATTACAAATACACAGTCACAGTACAACACAGAGCCCCACTAAATTCATTTATTCACAATAAATGCACGGTACAACGCCCCTACTCATGCAATTAACAGCTGCATAAAAACTCAACAATATGTAGTCGACCCATAGCCGTGTAATTGCCTAAATGTGCAAATCCAGGGATATTTACGGTTGCCCAACAGCCTGGAAAACTATTCAAGTTCTCAAAATCAACGATTCATAAGAGCAATGATAAACCCCAAATATAATTTTTGGCATGTGTAACACTTGCATCATTCTAAGAAATTAACACATCTTGTAGTAAGAAATCTCATTTTTATCGACTTTCTCACTGTACAAGTTGCCATATCATTAATAGATGAATTTTAGCAGCAAAAAAGGCAAACTAATTTGCAATTCGTCCAGTGACACCATATAGCGGCAATTTTGACAGAGAAACTGTTGATAAAGATGAAATTTTTTCTACAACACAAAGATACTTTGCAATTTCCCATTAACCTCGTGAAAACCTGCATTATAAAATGTGCTTGTAAATATCCCTGGATTTCTATCTGTTTCTCATTTGAACCTATAGTTAACAGGCTCCACTCTCATTCAAGAATTCAAAATTACTGTCTATTATTGCGTCCCGTGTCTATATATAGACAAATAAATTCATTTATAAATGGGAAATTCTGCTATTCACAGCAAATTACCAGCCAAGACACGGTCTTTAATTTTGAATTCATTAGATTTACGTTAGTTTTGGTTAGTCTCTGCATATAATTAAAAATTCAATTCTAAGGCAAAATAGGCCATGGTCATACGGCTCCCGCTGGATCACCCTGAAAAAAGAAAGATTTGTAAATTACAGACACGGGAAATGCGGCGGCACGGATCCCCAGCGGGCGGATGCGGACACTAACGAAGCGGACGTTTTTCTAATATTACATTTTTTATAGCGGACTTACGTCTTTCATAGCTTCTGCCATTTGTTTCATTTGTGACTCATTTAAAGGCTTGCCTGTATTCTATTTTAAAAGAATATAGATCTAATTTTACTAGCGTCGTTTGCATCGATGAACACTCGCAGATGTTCGTCCATCCTCACAAGACACTTTAATTCGAACCGACCTGACCGCGTAGCTCAGTTGGCAGAGCATTGAGCTAGTATTCCAATGGTCGTAAGTTCGATTCCCACCGTGGCCAGGCATATTTTTCACGCCTGCCCGGTGTGGATATACACTCAGAGCAACATCACAAGCATCATATTCACCTGAGTACATTACACCATCACAGCAAATATTAAGACACTTTAAAGTGCATATGACATGAATTTTTTTATTTTCTTAAGTGAAAGAACTCTTTAAGCTGTAGTGTAACTTATTTTTCAGTTTCTTGTTTTCATGGTTTGTTCCAGAGATATTTCAATTTCTTTGGTATGTAAATGAGTGTGAATATGTCCGCTAGTTTATGACGTCACGTTGGTTGCAAGCTCTTCAAAATGGTTGAATATCACTGCTATCATCCAAAGTGATAATTTGTAACTTCACTCACTGGTAAATGTAATAAAATACTGAAGAAAAACGTAAACTGATATCTACAGTTTTTAGAGTTAATAGATTTATAACCAGTGTAGGTTGAGCTTGCAACCAACGTGACGTCATAAATTAGAGGACATATTCACACTCATTTACATACCAAACAAATTGAAATATCTTGGGAACAAACCTTGAAAACAAGAAACTGAAAAATAAGTTACACTACAGCTTAAAGAGTTCTTTCATTTAAGAAAATGAAAAAATTCATGTCATATGCACTTTAATGTTTGCAATGAGTGTTTTCAATTAGTCCAAGCAATCAGTTAAAGTTAAAAACAGGATTGGCTGGCCATATTTAAACCTGTTAAGTGCCTTTGAAAGACATGGATGTTTCATGTGATTATATCTTGTGTATGTTAATTTTAATACGTAAACAACCGTAGTTCCGACTTTTCGTACTAATTCGAAATACAATCCCGACGTTTGTCTTAGACATGATTCATTTGGGGGCCATGTACACAATTTGTCTTTAACCGTTAATGCGCAAGACTCTCCCCTCGCTCTGGCGTTAGAGTAAAACAATAAAGTAGGGCGCAGCTTAATGGTTTAAACATAACATAATTGATTAATTGGTAATATCCTCACGTTTCGTCCATGAACATATTTCTCTTTGAGCCCAAACACAACCCTATCCTACTGTATTTTATTGTGGGCGAAACATGGGGATATAACCCATAGTTGAGTGTGAGAAATGGACAACTTGCATGTTAGACTAAATTTTAATCTAAGTAAAGAGAAGGGAATCAAACACCAAAGCTAAAAGGAACATAATGAAATTAGTAAAATTGTAAAATTGGGTTGCGAAATGTTGTGTGCTTGGAAAATTAGTCTTGCAAAGTTTGCAAATTTTGTATATGTTTGTATTACGTGCGGAAATTGTTACTATTTTGGGCTCAAAAATAGTAACAAAATTTCCGCACGTAATACAAACATATATACAAAATACGCAAACTTCGCAAGGCTATATTTTCCGTATTTTACAACATTTCGTATCCAAATTTTGCAATTTTAATAAGTTCTTTACGGGAATTTACTTTTTTTTCCTAGATAAAAAATTAGTCTAACATGCAAGTTGTCTATTAGAGAATTCAGCTTTGACTTCCACTAACCAAACAGATGCACCCGATTACAGTGAAAATACAAGAACCTTCCCACTTCCGCAGTCTGTTGCAATTTTCTGTATATTGTTTTTTGTAGCGATTACCAATGATGACAAAAATTTTATGATAATTTTTAGCGAAAGATGCATTTTTCGTTATTTGTCATAATTCGGTAACGGTTACAGAGTAATACAGAACAAATTACAGAAAATGCCAACAAACTACAAAGGCTGAAGTGGGAAGGTTCTTGTAGTTTGACTGTAACCAATTAGATCACACTAAGCCAGTGAGAGGTTGAGAATAGTGGACGTCAAATCCGAGTCTCTCTGTTGTGTTGAAATTTTCAATAAAAATTGTCTCGTATAGCCTGGCCTTAAACCATTTTACATCATCATTGAATACAAACCTGTACACCTCCGTTTGATAGACCGACTTGAGCCTGGAAATTGCAAAAATAATTATAGTATATTAATGTTATATTTCTTTTTAAGATTTTTTAAGGACAAATTTTTGCTAACAACGAACAATATATGAACCTTTAACTCTTTCACTTTCTGCTCCTGTTTTTCTAAAGCTTTTTCAGAGTCATCTAACTTTGCTTGAAGCTGTAAAATTAAACAAAGTTGCCATGAAGAGGATGAACGCCTCAATTACGGCCTGGTACTTCTTTTCCAGACAAGTACCACGTAAGTACACAGTACTCTTGCTATCTGCGTACTTGCTAAACAGCCAAAGGTATACATGCCCAAGGTATTCAAAACCGTAATTAAGTCGTATATGCATAAAGCCGGTTTCCACTTCAAGCGTACCGTAATACGCCAAAAAGTTGACTTGCGACGAACATTTCATTTTGATACGCGAATACACCCGGAAGTACGTGGATTTACAAACCTCTTTTCAATCTGCGCATGCTCACCAGTACGTTTCGGTACGATACGAGCGAAGTGGAAAACCGGCTTAAGTCTGTTATGAAACACACTGGACTGATGGGACTAAAGAATGTTGGTGTGGATTGTAGTGTTTGTAAATGCAATTGTGCTTTGATCTATAAACTTGTAGTTTCAGATTACTGAACACCTTTCAAAAACCTGAACTTTATGTACTTCATTTTAAAGACTAAGTACACCTATTGGCAATAGTCATCACAGTACCAGTCAAGTACGGATAAAAATCTTAAAAATTATCGCACCCTGTTATAAAGACGTTTGTAACTCACTGTTTTACCTCAGTTATCTTTGACGATTTTTCGTCGTTTTCCGATTTCACTTGTTCATATTTCTCCGTCATATCTCGATATTTTGTTTCGTACTAAACATAAGAAATCATTTTCGTCTTACATGTTGTTAAAAATCTCAATCTTCTGCAAATTGGAAATTTTACTACTATATATTTTACCTTAAAGCTACAATCCTGGTCAAAAAACTGCTTCCCAGATTTAACCACCATTATGCTCATTCACATAGTAATGAGTCTTTATATTAACAAATAATTTCACAGGCGAATGGGTTAACCCCCCGTTTACCCCATACAACGTTGGCTACACATTAGCAAAAGTAGTGGGACGAAACTGAACATTGAAGTGGAGGGCAAGGGGGGGGGGTTATAGTAATCTAATTCTGCAAAACCAAATTTGTGATTTATGCTTCACCGTGAGCCAAGGTTTTTGATCTGGATTGTAGCTCGAAGTCATGCCATACCTTGGACGATTTTGAGCCCATCAAAGAGAAACCCTTCAGACCACCCTTTTTCTTCTTGTCCTTCGCGTCAGGTGAGGAGGTATCCTAAATAATACAATTCAGTTGTTGAAGGAACTAGATTCCTACAGAACAGGTATGCAGTACATACCAGATTCGATTCGATTCTCGGTAAACAAAGTGAATTTTAAAAAGATTTCTTTAGAACTAACGTCTCGTTGATTCAATCTCTATGATTCAATCACGACTACTTACATGAATATGTAATTACAAGTATAAGGATAGTGGGAGGAAGGAGGGGCAAATGGGGTTCGAAATGGGATTAGAGTAGAAGAAGAGGGGCAGAACTGCCTTGTTTGTTTAGGGAGAGTTTAAAATTTAGAGAGCCATCAATTTCCTTACCTCATCAAGTGAGGCGGTGGACGCCGAGTCTTCTAAATGAGCAATCTTTGCTTGCAACTCGCTTTCCTTCTTTGTAGCCAGCGCTAACTTCTCTTCAAGAGCCTTTGGCAATAATAGAAGTAATAGAAAATTTAAGGAGAGTGTTTCGCGTGAACAGCGTAGAAGATAAACTAAGGAAAGATCTGGTGATGAAACGTGGACAAACACAGTTTAAAACAACGTTACACAAAATTATTTACAACGACTTGATTCATCAATTACATATCTTGATTGGCTTTGTTATCGACTACACACGGAAAAATCTCATATCTTGTAGCAAGTCTGCTAACAAGCCGTCATCAAGTTGTGTTCGCACTCCTTGTCCCAAGGTGTCAAGAAAAATAGAACAACTTAACAGTTGTAGCAACCTTGTTGATATTATCAGACACTTTGCAAGGTTGTTCTAACAAGTCCGATACAGTCATGATATAACAATATTGTTACAACTTGTGTCGTCAACCTTTTAACATTCTTGTTATATCATGACTGTATCAGACTTGTTAGAACAACCTTGTGTGACAAGTCTGATAATGCCATCAAGCTTGTTACAAGTTGTTAACAGCTTGTTCCAAACTTGTTAAAACAACTGGGAACAAGCAGTACGAACACAACTTGTCGACAGCTTGTGAACAGACTTGCAGACCTGTAACAATTAATTTGTGTGTTTTTACGTATGTATACTATACCTTTATTTTTGCATCGTTTTCTTTATCATTCTTCTTAGGACTTTTTGAACCACCATTTTGCATTCGCACTTCTTCCAGCTCTTTTCTTAACGCCGTATTCACTTTGGCAGCGTCGATTGCTTGGTTTTTATATTTCTCAAGGTCGGGAGACTTATCCTCCTCCGCGCGTAATTTGGCTTCGTTTTTAGTCGCGTCCAGCTCGTCTCGGAGAGATTTCTCTTCCTCTTTGAGGCGTTCAACCTCGGCGGAAAGTTTTTTGAGGTCGTTTTTGGATTCAGCGCTCGACATCGCTGCTGCTTTTTTCAGCGTAGATAGCTCAAGTTGAAGAGAATTTATTTTGCTTTCCTTCGATTTTGAATCGTCGTTTGCTTTTTGCGCGCTTTCTTTTAATTCAGCGACAGAGGTATTCGCCTGCAAAAGTAAATTTCTTTTTGACGATTGTGGGTTCGTGTCTGAAATTTTTTTAGTGCCACTATTGTTAACTTAAAATACATTGTGAATTGCGTTTCCTTTTAAGTTTTAGATGTTATGCATTAGCCAGAGAGCAATAGAATTCTCCAAACTTAGTCTCACAAATCACAATATGTCAGACCAACCATAATTATGAGTAAACCTTTGTGCATGCACAAACCTTTTTCAAATCAGAGTCTTTGTTCGACACGTCTTTTTCTAAAGAAGTAATTTTGGCGTCCTTCGACTTGGCGTCTTCGTCTGTTTTTCTTAAATTTTCTTCTAACTCCGTCACAGTTAAAGTCATCTGCAAGAAAAACAAATGAGGGATTACCACATAGGAAATATTTCAAAAAATTAGACAATAATCAATACAGTCTCTGCAGTTAATTAATGCGAACCTTTTTCAACTCAGATTCTTTATCACCCAAGCTTGCTTTACTTGACAGCTCTTGTTTCAATGACGCAATTTCCTCATCTTTCGACTTCACATCGTCTGAGGCTTTTTCTAGTTTATCTTCGAAGTCACTAAGTGTTGAATTTTTCTACAGAAATCAAGACAAAGTTGATTGAAATTCACATGTAGATTCGTCAGGAAGTTACTGGCCAATAGTTGAGGCTAATGTATGTCACACGAAGGTAATTTTTGCTGCAGCTTGTAACAAGTATACTGGATCAACAACCTTGTAGCAAGTTATCAAGCTGGGAACAAGCAGTGTGAACTCATCCTCATGACAAGTTGTTGAAACAGCATTGCTACAGGTCTGCTGCAGGCTTGTTACAAGTTGAGCGTCTTTACGTATATAAATGACACTTTCAAATGCACGTTCCGAACATGAAAGTTTAACGTGAGAATAGACAGTATGTTCTGCGACTGTTCATGCTACGATGCAAACGACGGTAGACGAACCTTTTCAAGTTCCGCATCTTTGCTTTCAACTGTTTTTTTCAAAGTCGCTATTTCTTTTTCTACATTGTCTTCAAGTTCATGAAGCATATTCTCCTACAAATATAGAATTAAATATAACGTGTGTTAAATATAGTATATCAGAAGTGATTTAGAACTGATAGAGATATCCAGTATAAATAAAGTTTAGTTTAGCTTGGTTTTTGCTCAACTCTGACACTGACAGCGTGAAAGCTGCTATAAAAGCCACTCATAAGGAGCAATAGTCATCACATTACAAATTTGCAAAATGTAATTCAGGCCACTACTCTATTATTTTAATCATTGTGGCTAAGAGCGGGGGCACAAAAGGTTTTGCAGTCGGATACAGGATGATGTTTATTTAGGAAGTGCCGTAGCTAGAAACAGGATGAGGGAAAGAAAAATTGCGGTATTCAGTTTTTCATAAAAATGAAAAATGTGCAGAATAGACAGCCTCGTACCTAGGCGCTATGTGTTGTTATATGGTTTGCGCTGCCTTTGCGTGCGCCGCGTGGATTAATTTGACAGCAGAATGGGCAGAAAATCTGAGCAAGAGCTTTAGAAGTTTAGCTTAGTTCATGGATTAATTATAAAGCATGCATATTCACTGGCGACATACCGTTGATCCTAATAATGATTTGTAGTTATTACACTGAGTGTCAATGTCCTCTTTCTTTTTTAATACTTCGTTCAGCTCATTTTCCTGCAGAATGAATAAAAATGTAAAACTGTTTATATTTTGCATGAAGGACAAATCATACATCACATTCACACAACTTCGGACATGAACAACTATATGTTAAGTATTGGTAGTGGTCAGAAAGATATCGGTTACAAAACTAGCCTGCGTGCAGGCCCAAGGGAACTTGATAGTGGGCCTGCAACCATCGCCCGGTATTTTGAAATACGCCCCTTTTCATAACACGCCCCATTCGCGCGTCAATTGTCAAAAAAGAACCAATGACAGCACCCAAATATTAACAAACAAACTCGCATTAAAATGTTGCGGGGTTTTCTCTGCTTATTCAGAACACTAATAAACAATGTGTAAATGGCTGCGTTTTAACTCCAAAAAAGCAAGCAACGCAGTCAGTAATTGCCAAATTTGCAAGTGCTCATTTTCAACTAAAATCGGAACAGACAAATTAGGACGAATTTCAACAGAAAACCAGTCTCAAACTTCAAATCATGAGGGAAGTCGGGCGACCACATTAGGATTTATATTATGTGTGCTTCGCTGTCGCCATTGGCATTGTTATAAATAAATTGTCTCACTTATCAGATCGTGTGTGCAATTCTTGTTGGCGGCGGAAGGTACGAAATTTATTTCATTTGGTAAAGAACTCTACAAAAGAAGAGAGCGTTCCGAGTCCAGATCGTTTCGTTTCAAACGGCAATTTAATACCGCCTTCTGTTTCGCTCTCTGCGAAGCCTTGTAAATCGCAAAGTGTTTCGAATAGGCTTACAGTTCTTACATGCAACTGCATCTCAACATCAACCAAAAGATAATTTTCTTGAGGAAGTGAGAACACATAACGTATCAACTGAAGTCTGTTTGAAATTAATGAAACTCAAGTAAAGGTTACTATAGTTTACCCCAGTCGTAATGTTGCTATTCCAACACCTCACGACAAGCAATCCCCATTGGCATAACGGCAAAAACATGTCTTCCTTCAAGTAAACAATAAACAGTCTCTTCTTGTTCCATTTGTAATCGAAAAAAGTGATCAATTTTCAAATTTTAAGCTTATCGAGAGCCTTTGTCTATGCCTTTGTGATGAATCACTGTTCCCTTGTGCCTGCACAATGGGCTAGGTTAATTAATTACCGATCGCCTCAGCTAGCCAATGGGAATCTAGCCGGCGGTTCGGCCGGCGAAAATCGAAAACATGGGGTGATGGTTGCAGGCCCACTATCAAGTTCCCTTGGGCCTGCACGCAGGCTATTACAAAACTAGATTCAGTTCATCACCCACCTTGCTATCTAAATTAGTTTTGTATTCTGCACATTGTGACGTTACTTCTTCATTCTGTTTTATATATTTCTTTAATTCTTCCTCCAATTCTTCAATCTAAAGAATCAATTTCAAACGGAAAATTGCAACGAATGGCCGTTCCAAAAAAAGCGGCAACATTTTTAGAAGATATGCAGTTACAATTTAATCAAGTTAAAATACCTTTGAATCATTTGATTCAGACTTGGGTGACCTACATCCCAATTCTTCTGTCTCATTTTCATATTTCTTTAAAAAGTCCTCGTACGACTGCAAAATGAAAGAGTAGTACATGTGAATGTAAATGCAACATCATTCCTATTGAGATTTGAGAATACTGTTTCCTTAATGAATATGAGGTCAACAATATTCATATTGGATTAATAAACGGCAACCGAAATGCGATTCTTACCAAGTCTTTGTCGATAGATAAAGTAGGATGAATTCGACACAAAAATTCCTGAAAATAACGTTGAATATATAATAAGATAAAATACATAAAAATAGAGACCACTTTAGTAATGCACGTACCTTTATGTCTGTATGCAAATCTTGAAGGTTCTTTTTATTTTCTTCCTACAGAAATATTGATATCAGAGTTAAAACGCTGACATATGAGCGTTGTTCGTTTTGAAGAATATTCAACAACACAAAAATGATCCATCTCCTACCCTAGTCAGATTTACATTTGACTTCCACTAGGGACCGTTAACCAATCAGATGCATTTGACTTACCCGATTAACCAATCACATGCGTAGTAAGTTAGTGAAAGGTATTTGTAGTGGTAGTCAAAAGTAAACCACACTGATGTAATTTACCTTGACTGAAGCAACTGCTTTGCCAGTTTCAACCTTGTGTTGTTTTTCTGCAGCAGACAGCGCATCCATCGCCTTCCAGTTCTTCTCTCGCAACTCCTGGGAATAAATATGATTCCAGTTTAGTTATCATTAATCATTGCATGTACCAATCTTGTGTTTGGTGGAAAATACATGAAATTGGAAATATTTAGAATCATTTGTTGCCCCTCCCCCCCCCCAAAAAAAAAAAATCAATACATTTGAAATTCACCACTATCAGTATGTCTAGCTATCATCATATGCAGAAATACAGGAAGTTGCTCACTGTAATTACAGTGAAAATACAAAAAGTGTCCCACTTCCGCTTCTGTAGTTTGTTGTGATTTACTGTAATTAGTTCTGTTTTTCTGTAGCGATTACCGATTTATCGGCAAATACCGCGATAAAACTTAGTTTTTTCTATTTTTAAATATGATAATTTGTAGCAAAGGGAAATAATACATTTTTCGTTAGTTTCATTGCATAAAAGGAATGAAATTTAAATTTTTTAACAGTATTTGCCGATAAATCGGTAATCGCTACAGAAAAACAGAACAAATTACAGTAAATCACAACAAACTACAGAAGCGGAAGTGGGACACTTTTTGTATTTTCACTGTAATTGGTCAAATGTCTCAAATAGATTGGTTTGTGTGAGCAAGTAGGTAGAATATTTTAGGAACACTTTCATTGCCAGATCAAGACACCTATCTATCCTGCAAACAGAGTTTTTAGAAACATGTATATAATATAAGAGAAACGGTTCAAACACATACATTGTTCTTGGCCTTCATAGTTTCAATCGACTTCTCCCAGGTAGCTATTTGCTCTTTTTTCTCATCCAGTTGACCATTAAGTTTTTCAATTTCTTCCTCCAAACCTTTTACCCTAAAAAAATACACTATGATTCAAATTCTGGTAGTTCTGATGTTGAACTCAGCAGGGAAATTGGAAATTTTGCCAACATCGAATGATTACTTGTTTATTATTAGCATATGACAAAATTGGATACTTCTCCGTCAGCATCATATTCTCTCGCCAAAGCCCAGTCCTGCCAGATTTTCAACTAAAATTTGGTACTTTTGTTCGTATTTTCATTTAGTTCTTTTGTTCAAGCAAAATTTGGCGCTTTTGTTTGTATTTTCATCTAGTTCCTCAAGGGCAATTTCATTTCACATTTGTGTTCAAAATATGTTTCCACCATTTTGTTTGTTTTGGGAAAATCATTAATTGTACTGCAGTACAATTAATGAAATAATTGTACTCCTCTCAACCAATCAGCATCCAGTAATTTTGTCATGCTAATAATAAGTGCGGTTAACCATGGGTTAAAATTTAACCCGCTGTTTCGGTTTGGGTACGTTTGCACTTCTGTTTATTTCATTAATTAAACGCACCTCTGTTTAAATAAAATTTCTATTGATGCAGACATGAATTCTGGAAAACTATCTTCATGTTTCTAAACAGGCTGTTGGGAAGTTTGCTTTGAGATTTCTGTTAACCTAGGACTAAGCTAACCAGCTTTTGAACAACCAGCGTCAGATATTTTTACACACTAGGTGGGGTGCAGCGCGCAACCTCTGTACCCCACAGTAGACCCACTGCTGCTTTTGGTAGGTCGTTACTTTAAGGACTCTACTTACTTGGCATCGTCAACTTCAGGTGGTGCAGACTGAAGCTCTTGAGACATGTTATTTTTCATCACGACAATCTCGTTCTCGTGTTGGCTCACAGTTTTTCTCAATAATTCAAGCTCTTCGTCCTTGCTGCAATTCAAGCCTTTCAGATTGCTTATCTCTCCTTCATGTCTGCTCAATTGTTCTTCTCGGCTCGTGAGGGATTGCTTTGTTTTCCCATGATCCTCTTCAGCCTGTGCAAGTTTGGCCTTCAGTTCGTCCAGCTGTCTTGATGTATCCTCTGACTGTTTCTGAAAAGATAAATGGCCCATAAAAATTCACAACTTGTTTTCAGTTTTTTTCAATGCATCTTCATAGGATTTTCTTTGTGTTTTGATTTTCCCTTTGTGAATTGCTGTTAATTAATTAATTCGAGAAATCACTAAAATTAACTGTTTGTGATGTATGGTATTGCATATTGTAAGTTACTCAAGATCATCCTACCTGGAATTCCGCTATTTGTGTATCATCTTTCTTTCCGCTAGCTGACTCTAACTGTTGAACAAGCATCTGTAAATCAAATAGTAGAAAATTACTTACTTAACACATATACACAGGTCATCTATTGGCCTTCACTAAACACAATGAAACTACCAAGTCAGGTGAAGTAATTTCAGCAACAAACTTTCCAACGAATGTGGTTCTTAACTATCGAGTACCAGCACTATTCCTTCGACGAGTAAAATTGTCTGATGTTGGACACAATAAATTGTCCTATGCTAGCAACCTAATTTCCATCCCCCCACCCAATATTTCGCAAAGTGTCCACCACTGTTTTGATACTCATCAACATGAAAAAGACTTTGACATTTTGAGCAAAGACAGAATCAGTACCTATATACTTTACCTCTTTCTCTTGCACATGTTTATCAGACGTATCTTTCAACTTCAGTTCCAAAGCCTTAAACATTTTCTCCATTTCAGATTTCTTCGATCTCTCCTCGTCCAGTTGAGATTGCAATGCCCCAGCTTTCTGAACGGCATTGGATTTCTCTGTGTGTGCTGAGTCAGTTTCTTTCTTTGCCATGTCCAGTCTCTGCTCGCTGTCACTTTTTGACTTCACTGTTTCCATGAGTTGTTGCGTCAGACTGTTTTTAACAGCATCAAAGTTCTTGACTCGATCATTGGCTTCGGCTGCTTGTTGTGCTAGTTTGGCTTCATTTTCTTTCTAAATTTTGAATTTGCAGCAAAATTTGGAATTACGAAAAAAAATTTAAAAAACATTAGGAGTCAAATTTTAGTGAAACCAATTGTAAAATGAATACTGGTGTTGATACTGAAACACAAAATCAACTAAGCCACTCATAATTAGGAGCTAAATAGTCATCATATTTTATACATTGTCATTCAGGCCACTACATGTATTCCACCGGAATATTATTAGTCATTTTAGGTGCTTATGCAATGAAATTTCACACCATTATTTTATGATTGCATTGCAAAGGAAATTCAAAATGACCAAATAAGATACTTTGCCAAATTCTCTACACTTGCCAAATTCTTGAGATATTTGACAATTTTTTAATATCCAAATTATCCTCACTATGGCATGACATGTAGCATGACATCACATTGCATGGTCACTTTCTGAAAAAACTTCAACATCTTCATGCATCAAATATTTTTTCATACCCTTGAATCGATGTCTGTTTCAAGAGCTAAAATTCTTGCTTCCAGTTCAGCCTTTTGGTTTTCAGAGTGTTGAATAATATCTTTTGCAGATGCCAGATCCTCTTGCAACTTCTGCCAGTCAGTTTGAACATGGGTTTTCTTACAAATTTCCAGTGCAGCAACAAGTTTTTCATGTTCTAGAGCATTGTTCTGGTGGGAAGCATTCATTCGTAGCTTCAGAGCTTCGTTCTCTTTTTCCTAAGAAAGTAAATAGCCAAACAAATTTGACAAAAGTATGCTTATAGGAGCATAATTTGGAGTATGAAGAGTCAAAGCAGTTTGCAAACATTATGGCAAGTACATACTGTAATTATCAAGTTAGAATAAATCAGCAACTTTTGGTATATTATTTATCCAGCTTACATATATGTTGGGTGTGCAAATTAATTTTGAGAAAATTAATTCACAAAAACCTATTTAGTAATGAAAGCCAGGCCCCTCTTTCTCTATTCATCTTTTATGTTTCAATGAGGGCCTGCCACATAAGAAATGTTTCAAATTTTCAACCAAATATTATAATTGAAAACAAACAAATCAGACAAGTTAATAAAACCACTTTAGGAACAACAATTGACCAGCACTTAACTTGGAAGACTAATACTGAAAATATTTGTAAAAAAATAACATCGGGAATTTCAGCTCTACGTCGTGTCAAACCATTTATTGCTGATGGAAATACGCTTATTTCTATATACAATGCTATTGTACGTCCCTACTTTGATTATTGCTCTGAAGTTTGGGATGTATTTGGCGAAACACAATCTAAACGACTGCAAAAACTACAAAACAGAGCTGCTCGAATTATTTCAAATTTCAGCAATGATGTAGATCATTCTATTGCTTTAAATGCCTTAGGCTGGGAGCCACTTGATAGAATAAGAAAAAAGAAACATTTCAAGTGGTCTTTGTCTACCACAACCACGTACCAATAATATGAAGAAGAGTTTTATGTATGATGGTGCTAAGCTCTGGAACTCTATTCCAAATGAAATTAGAGAGAGCAAATCCCTATCATGCTTCCAAAAGAAAATTGCCGCTCAGATTTTTAATTAGACAACAAATGTTGTCATGTACAATGTAAATAGATTGTTATATTCCCATTACTTACTTTAATACCTGCATGCCTAATACTAATTCTAATACTCTGTAAATAACTTTCTAAAGTTTATACTTCTGTAATGTCTTTTATACACGCCCCCTGTAGAAATCAGCTTCGGTTGACGGGGTTAGCGTGGTTAAATAAAGTTTATCTATCTATCTATCTATCTATCTATCTATTCCCCATTCCCGCATTCCCCATTCCCGCATTCCCCCATTCCCGCATTCCCGCATTCCCGCATTTCCCCATTCCCGCATTCCCCCATTCCCGCATTCCCCCATTCCCGTTCCCTATCAGTTAAAGATAGCCTGTCAGTCGTGTGGTGTTTTAGTCACGATCGGCAAATCACGGTGGAAATACGACAAATACCGATTTTTTTCCGACGAGCAATTTCATCTGATGTGAACACTTTAATATGCACGCTTTCGTTCACGGCTTTCGTCGAGGAAACGCAGAGAAAATATTGATTGTTCTCGGAAAATTTACCGAATTTAGCGCCTTTGAAAAATATATCGATGTAGGTAAAGCTTTGCTGTTTTTAATTTACCTGATAGTCTGTTATTTTGAATTTCAGAATAATTAGATGCACTATCTAGTGTATATAAGATATCTATGGTTTCTATACCTTCAAAAAGCCACAATAAACCGAAATTTTGTTTAAATTTGTAGGAAATATAAACACAACCTCGTTCCCAGGGTCTCTCCTTCTGTCATCTGTCATCTTTCCCAAAGAAAGATCCTGGGTACGAGGTTGATATAAACATTGTTTACTTCAAATTAATAGTCGTACAGTGATACTGACCTTGACCTTGTTATTACCGTCCCAACTACAGATAAACAGTCACTCATAGAAACATTGCCTAGCGTATTCGTGTGAGAATCTTAAGTTTTCTTATTATGGCATAATAGCTATTTTCAATAAATACATTGATATTAAACTTATTGAATCAATATTTCAAATTTTAGGTCAGTTATACAAAATTTATAAGCGCTTGCGCACCATAAAGGCGGATTTCCATTCAGTGCAAAATGTCGCGCGATCGACATTTTGCGATCACTTTCCTTCGAAATACAAGCAGACAAACACAACAGATCAGGTTGACTGAACGTATTTCAAAGAAAGTGATCGCAAAAAGTTGATCTCGCGATATTTTGCACTGAATGAGGCATGCAACATGTACGCATTGCGTACATATTTTTGAACTATTTGGGCTACCTAATGAGCGTTACGCCACTGAACGTGGCCTCTCAGTCCCGTTTGCAAACAAGTCTGACTATCCAGTGTTAGGCCAAATAAAAAAAATACTTAGTTAGGGTCACACTCTCACAAATTTTCAGAGGCGGGCGGGCGGATTTTTTTTTAATTTTTACTCGTTTTTTAATTTTTTAATAGTATTTTTGGAGGGGATGGGGGGCGGTTTTTCCACCATATCGGTGATATTTTTTGTACTGATGTTGCGAAG